CAGGCAGCAACAAGATAAACAAACGCAACGAGGGGAGACTGCGGGCCGATAACGTTAATAAAAGCGACCTGGAACAAGGATGGCTGCCATTCCTGGCCCGCTGGAGCGTTGGTCCGTTGGCCCGTTGGCGCGCTGGAGTTCCAGGCGGGCCAACCTCGTCGTCTGCCTGCCGGAAAAGAGCAAATCGAGTTTTGAGTAATTTGCGACGCGCGAAAACGGGCAGCCAGGTCTCGGATCATCCGCGTTATTGAGTTTTGGCTCTCCACTCAGGACCGTCGGCCCCTCGGCCTCGGCCGCCCCGCCCCGCCCCGCCCCGCCCCGCATTGTACAGTGCTCCATCGCGCTCCATCGCATCGCGACCAACACAGCGAGCACTCCGCACAACTTTACCTTTACGAAAAAGAGAAACACAACCAAACAGATGGAAGCGCTCGAAGAGAAATATAATTATGACCGTCGGTAAACGCAGACAAACAGTGTCCCGGCAGCAGGCGCCGCCGCTCCTCACCCTCACCGCCCGGCTGCCTCTTCGCCTCCGAGACGTGAAATGACAAATCCCCTCCCCCTCCCCCTCCCCCTCTCCCCTCCGCGTTGTGTCGCCAATTCCTTACCCTTTGTGTGTCGCCAGATTCTTTTCCCACCTGGGGGTCGACTCGCGGGGGTAGGCGGCGGAGGTGGGCCGGGGTGGGGCGAGACGGGGCGGGGCGGGGCGGGGCGAGGCGGGGCGGGGCGGGGCGGGGCGGGGCGGGGCGGGGCGGGGCGGGGTGAGGCCGGGCGAGGTGGAGCGGCCAGAATGCACGCTGCTTCTTCATTAAGGACTCGCTGCGCTCGAACTCGATTTAACCCTGTTGAAACTAGCGGCAAAGTCTGCGACGGCGGCCTCGGCGGCCTCGGCGGCTCCCCGCCAGCGCCTTCCGCCCTCCGCGCGTCGTTTTCGTCGCTCTGTCTCCCTCGCACTCATGGGGCGTCCCGCATGCGTGCGGGAGAGACAGAGAGACAGAAAACGACTCTCGGAATCAGTCTGCAGCAAGTACTCCAAGTCGTCCGGGCCGCCGAAGCCCGACGGCGGGGAGGCGAGTCGAAGCAAGGGTCTGCCGGTGACGGCTACTCTAAAGCGGGAAGAAGGCACCACACAATAAACCTCGTTAATTCATTCTCGCTATCGTCAATTTGGCGGCGCGTCTGGCCGTGCATCGATTCGAATGAGTCGGCGCGCTAGCCTCGCCCCGGGCCTCGCCGACGGCCCCGCCTTGGCACCGCCACACAGTGGGCCAGAAGAACAGTGGAGGCAGCAAAAATTATAGACGCGTTAAGAGCTACAGAGTCGCTAAGTGGGACTCGAAACAAATGTGTGACCCCACCAATGGATTCCTCGTTCGGAGAGCAATCCATTGGTGGGGTCACACGTTCGATTCGAGTCCCATTTAGCGACTCTGGAGCTTGGCTCAAAACGCGTCTAGAGTTTTGGCCGCCTCCACCGGTCTTCTGGTCCACTGTGCGCCACCGCCCGAGACGGCGCCCGGCCCCGGGGCGCAGGCCGCGCCGAACGACGAGGAGTAATTGTCTTTCAACGCGAAATAACAACATTACAAACATCGGATGGCGTCCCGGACGGTCTCTGACCTCTACGTCATCCACGTCGTCGTCGTCGTCGGCGGCGTCATCGTCATGTCGTCGTCGAAGACGACCGGCTGCTTACCGATGAGGGAGGCGAGCCAGCAGACTGATTGCGAGAGTCGCTTTCGTCGCTCTGTCTCTCTCGCTCCCATACGGATCCCCCTGTGAGTGCGAGAGAGACGCAGCGACGAAAACGACCCTCGGAATCAGTCAGCAGCCGAGTGCGCCGGGGTAAAACGCGGATGAGAGTTCCCTCCTAATAGCGGAGCGGTAACGACGTCAACGTCTAGCGCGTCCCGTCGCGTCCCGAGACGGAGACGGAGGCAGAGGGACAGAAAAGCAGAGGGGCACCAAGTCGAGCGAAAGGTTAAAACCGAGTGCCGCGCCGTGTCGTGCCGCGCCGTGTCGTGCCGCGCCCTGCTGCGCCGCGTCACTTCAAAGCCCACCACCCCGGCATACACATGCGCGCGTGCGCACACAGACACACACACACACACACACAGAGAGAGAAGAGAGAGAGAGAGAGAGAGAGAGAGAGAGAGAGACAGACAGACAGACAGACAGACAGACAGACAGACAGACAGACAGACAGACAGACAGACAGACAGACAGACACACACACACACACACACACAGACGCACACACGCGCACACGCACTCACTTGCGCGTGGATCGCGGTCCACCGAGCGGCAACTCCACCGAGGGCTCCTTAATTGGCAGTGGCGGCGCTTGGAGTGCCGAGAATCACTTCAGAGCATTATCGTCCATCAAGGACTCATCGTCCATGTCCGCGCCCTGTCTCTCCCTCGACGTGGCGAGCGAATAAAGGGAGCGGCCATTTCATTGACCTGCCCCTGCACTGCCAGTCTGGAAACCGAAGAGTTTACATGGTTGACTCTTCTAATGAGTGGACTCTTCTAAAGAGCGGACTCTTCTAAAGAGTGGACTCTTCTAAAGAGTGGGCTGTTCTAAAGAGTGAACTGTTCTAAAGAGTGGACTGTTCTAAAGAGTGAGCTGTTCCAAAGAGTGGACTGTTCTAAAGAGGACTCTTCTAAAGAGTGGACTCCTCTGAAGAGTGGACTCTTCTAAAGAGTGGACTCTTCTAAAGAGTGGACTCTTCTAAAGAGTGTACTCCTCTGAAGAGTGGACTCTTCTAAACAGTTGACTCTTCTATATGAGTAAGAGTTGGCTCTTCTAAAATAGTTGATTCTTCTAAAGAGTTGGCCCTTCGAAGGTCAACATTGTGAGAGAAAAAGAACGAAAAAGAGGACAAAGCGTGCTCTGTCTTCCTCGCACCTATACGGACCCCCTCATTGTGAGAGAAAAAGAAGAAAAGAAGAGGGAGGGAGACACACGTGGGATGTGCGGCATTGTCTGACTGGAAATGAACGTCGCCGCGGCCCGCGACACCTCCTCGACGGACACGCGTGGGGCGTGGACGTGTCTGGGGCAAGGCTTGGGCATGTCTTGGCCCGGACAATGAACTCCAGGCCGTCTTTGTGTTTTTCCCGCCCAGACTCGCTGTTTCTCGATAAATCCGGATCGAGGCAGGCGGGCATCACGGACAAATGAGCCACGGGCGGGGCGGCGTGGCGACGCGACGCGAGGTGGACGTGGGCGCGACCCCGTCCGACGCCTCGTCTCTTCTGTCTCTCTCGCACCCCTACGGGCGGTGGAAGGGCCCGTGAGTGCGAGTGAGATGGCGCTATTCGGAATCCTCCGCCCCGCGCGCGACGGGACGTGCGCCCCGATGACTCCCCGTTCGCCGACTCCCAGGAGACCGAGTCCGAGAGTCGCTTCGTCGCTCTGTCTCTCTCGCACCTACACGGGACGCCCCATGAGTGCGAGAAGGACAGAGCGACGAGAGCGACTCTCGGACTCCGTCTGCTGTGCCGTTGGCGGCCGTCGCACAGTGGACCAGAAGACCGGTGGAGGCGGCCAAAACTCTAGACGCGTTTTGAGCTCCAGAGTCGTTAAACAGGCCTCGAACCGAACGTGTGACCCCACTAATGGATTCCTCGTTCGGAGAGCAGTCCATTGATGGGGTCACACGATCGGTTCGAGTCTCATTTAGCGACTCTAGAGCTCAAAACGCGTCTAGAGTTTTGGCCGCCTCACCGGTCTTCTGGCCCACTGTGCTCCGTCTGCTGTGCCGTTGCCGGCCGTCGGCCTAGCTATGGCGCCTGCGAACGGCGGGGTAGGCAACCCGACCGCTCCACTGTGTGGCGGCTGGCCCACCCTCGCTTCGGCGGGCGCTAGCGGGCGCCTCCACTGCAAGTGCACGCGCCCTGCAAGCGCACTCGGCGCCCATGTTCACTGAGAAGCCCCTTTGAATTAGAACTAGAATCAAGCACTTGACGGTGCCATTATTGGATTCCGCGTCCGCGTTCGCAAGGCAGTCCGCTGGTTTACTCTCGTGTGTCTGATTCGAGTCCCCGCTCGAGGACCATGGAGCTGACGCACTGGATGCACTGCTGCACTGCTTGGTGCATGGTGCACACGGCCCGTGGTCGGGCCCCACGCCCCACCCCACCCCCGGCCGAGCCGAGATTGAAACGCGTGAACGGCGCTTGTGACGTTGTGATTGAGATGTCGCGCGCAGCAGACTGACTCCGAGAGTCGTTCGCGCCGCTCCGTCCCTCTCACACCTGCACGGGGCGCTGCATTAGTGCGAGAGGGACAGAGCGACGAAAACGACTCTCGGAGTCAGTCTGCGGGACTCTCGAGACGCGTCTTTTTATTTCGTCAGCTTATGCAATCTCAGCCCCTCTTGTTCGCCTTTCACCTCGAGGTGCAGGCACGGGCACGTGCAGACCGCCCCGCCCCGCCCCGCCCCGCCCGGCCGGACGGGCAGACCCGAGGCCGAGGTGCGTCAACACTCAGATTTAATGTCAACAGCAGCGCGGCATGGGGTGGGGCGAATCCATCTCGCATTCATATCCCCCGTGTTGACAGTGCATCATTGTGTCGCAGACGTGTCTTCATGAATTCAGAATCGCTTCGCTAAGTTCGATGACTGCGCAAATGTATTCATCGCACTGTTTCTCTCCTTTTGCTTTCTTTTCGAATGGACGTTGCTGGGCCTTCGACCCCTTAGGCCGCAGTGGCCTGTCGGCAAGCGAGTCATTCTTTAAATTGCGCATTGATCTCTGCCTATCGAATTCAGACCCGTCGTCAAACTCGCGACTCTTTCTCACGCAGCTGAGGGTTTTTGTTTCTTTTCTCTCTCATTTTCTTTCTCTTCCTCTCTTTCACTCTAATTTTTCTCAATGATGAGATGTATGTGGAGGCTGATCATCAGTCCAGCATTTTCAAGTGTCTTTATCTACGGTAAATTTAATTGCTCATAGATAGAGACATAAGGGGAAGAACAGAGAAGCAGTTTCATCAATATTAACTCTTTATTAGAAATACATCTAGAATATGATATAGTACGTACAATACTGGGCCACAGAATACTGGGAGCCCATTAGATTTGGATAGAAACAAAAATCATGCTCCTTAAATCAGAAGGTAAATAAATTACACAGGCATGAAAATCAGTCTTTTAAAGAATTAAAAAGATCTCCACTGGCCAACACAAGATATAAATAATTAACAACTTAACTCTACTGACTCACAAAAATAACATACAAAACAGATTTTCAATAAGTAAAGTATTCTTACTTCAGTAGGATTGGTAATTAATTTAATGTCAAACTATTCTGACTAACAAACCAAACAGAATCCACGAAATTAAATTATGCAGACCACAGAAAATGTTAAATACTTATCACAGGCATATTCACTTCTTCGACATTTACAGGGATTTCTTAGTTAAAGCAACACAAAATTAACACAGAAACAACTCAATCAAGACCAAAATTCCCATTAAGATGACAGTCTTTTCAAAAGCTCAACAGAATTAGATTTGTAAAGCTCTGGATTTTCAAATTTTTTTCATGACTAGCAGAGTAATGAAGTTGCATTGTCATTATCATTATCATCCAATGTTCCTAATGGACTAGGTAGTACATACTGTATACAGTTCAAAGCATCAACAAGTGTATTTTGCTCAGTTTGAATAGCCACATATTGGGGCAAATTGGAGCCTTGGTTAAGAGAAGCTAAGATCTCTGCATTCCGCAGATCATCGTTGCTTTCATTGCTGTGCGACCCAGATATGTACCGATAAAGGAAAGTGGGTTGTTCTGCTGTACTGTGATAAGAGGCCAGAGCAGCCAAGCCTGCCAGGCCACAAGTACCATCCATACTTGTGCTGTCTGTGCTGTCACGGCTATCAGCACTATCTGCAAGCACAGGATCCTGGGTTGCTGAGGCCCGAGTACCAACTAGCTCTTCAAGTTGGTGCTGCCGCAAGTGCTCCTCCAAGGTATCTTCCCGCCAAAAGGATTCATTGCAGTATGTGCAATTGTGGACCACAGGGAAAACATCCATGACTTTCCTCTGTTTCTTCTGTGAAGCTTTCTTCTTAAGGTGTGGTCGATGATGACCTATGAAAATAAAACAAGCAATACTGTAGATAGACAGACAGGGGACTGAAGGGGAGACCTCAAACAGATACATACCTCTCTTTCCATTTAATAATGGACTTTGTTTTACTTTTTCAGGCATGTGAACCTTCATATGATTTTTTAAAGCAGTGTTGGTGGCACCAACAAAATCACACTTGTTGCATCGTTTGCAATCATCTGTGGACACAATTTAATGATCATTATTCCCATTTTACAAACAAAATTTTGTTACTAATGATAGCAATTTCTCTTGCCAAGCCCTAAGGTTACCTTTGTGTGATTTCACATGATTCCGCAAATCCTTGCGAGACTCACACCGAAGATCACACTTTGGACAAATAAGTGAAATTCCTGGTTGATGATTTTGTTGAATGTGTGTTCTTAGACTCGCTGTGAGAAAGTATATCAATAATCAGTATCATGGAGTTTAATAAGTTGATGAAATTCTTTTTGCTAATGCTGAAACTCATTTGTAAGGAACATTGTTATGACTCACTTTTAAGAGCAGCAGCATAGCTGCAGTCTGGGCATTTAAATGGCTTGTCACCAGAATGCAATCTTGTATGTCTTGTAAGGTCAGAGCTGGTAGTGAAAGCTCTGCCACATTTCTTGCACTTGTAGGGATGGTCACCTGAAAAATACATAGATTTTTTTTAAAACAATAACAATAAATACCAACTTGTATTTTAGTTAGATAGGCTTTTTATTTTTAATCATACCAGTGTGCTTCCTCAAGTGAACGTTCAAATGTGACTTTGTGCGAGCACGGTGATCACATAACTGACACCTACAAAAGAAAACAATACCAATCATAAGTACGGTACTTTTAAATAAAAATTGTGTTAAAAGAACAAGAAATCTTCTTACTTGTAAGGCCGTTCATCTGTGTGCTTGCGCATGTGTATGACCAAACCGCTTTGGTCCCTACATGCAAAGTCACAGACTTTACAAAGAAAAGTCTTTTCACCACCATGGCAGCGAAGGTGAACTGACAATTTGTCTCCTCGTGTAAAAGTCTTGTCACATTCAGGGCACTTAAAAGGTCGCTCACCTAAAACACAAAGCCTACTTTAGCCATTGAGAACTCTACAGGGTACTTAATTGGCACTTTGTGAGTAGAAAGGTTCAATACCTGTATGTGTTCTTATATGTCGGGTTAAATCTCTTAAAGAGTTTCCTTGAAACTTGCATCCATCATTGGGACATGAGTGAACTTTGCGAGGCCTACTTGTTTTCAAAACTTGATTTGTTTGCATCTGTGATAGTATGTTGCTACCAAGTGAGTCAATGCCATCAGGAGCAGGTGAAGTAGTTTCTGGTTCAGCAACCTGCTCTAGCAATCTCTTTTTACCATCTTCAGTTTCAAAGGTTAAAGTGTCAGTTGAGTCAGTGATAACCAACTGGTTGTGCAAATTGCCATAGGACAGGAATGATTCTGTGATCAATGGAAGAAAAATAAATAAAAGAGACAAGCGCAAGAGCAATCAGAGCAAAGCACAAATATGAACTTCAGTTTACCAGCAGCATTAGGATAGATTGGGAGGCTTGGCTCATTTGTTAGATGGTTGGCTAATAGTGTAGCAACTTCCACATCTTCAACATCCAACAAACCACCATGAGGACCGATGAACCGTTCAGGAACTTGGCACTCTTCTTCAACCTTATCCCCAAAATACAGTGACACAAATATTAACACCCAGTTGCAGGCAGTTCAAATCCAGTAATGTACTTACAAAGTAACTCACCGAATGAATCTCATCATCAATATGCTTCTCATGAGTCAATGTGAGCACAGAATCCTCTTCACACCTCTGCAAATGCTCATGGCCCATCTCTTCATGCATGCTGTCATCCTCTGTGGCCATCACTTCAACACTTGCGTCTTCTTCAACATTACAGTTCTCTTTCATATTTTGGTTCTGCAGCTTCCTCAGAGAATTAGAAACACTAAAAGTGCCCAAAACTTTGGCAGCAGACCAGGAAGACACCCACTAGATAAAAGAAAAACATATTGATGGTAATGATGTAATTTGCTACTAATTTATATAAAAACTGAGAGATACTCAAAATTTGCAGCTTTGAAAAATACGTACATCATCATCCAACATGATTCCCTCCTCAGCTGCTTTGTCATCTGAAGAAATATCTTGGTTTAGGTCGTCTAATCTTTGACTTGCAAGATCAGCCAACAACAAATGAGGTGGGTGAGCAGGGGAAGGTGCTTCAGCAGTTTCAATGCAATTTGTGGGGGGAACTTCCTCATAAACCTCTTCCTTTTGAATGGTGAATGCCTCAGTATTGATTAAGGCAACCCTCGTATACTTTGTTTCTGGCCGGGTGGGACTAATGTTGCTACCTACAAAATAAATTAGTATGAAAAGTTGTGAAGCATTTATCAATGTCTATCTCCACTTAGAAAGAAAGAAAGTCTTACCACTAAAGGATGTAAAAATAGGATTGCTACTGGATGAAGGAGAGATGCAAGGAACTGGAGCAGACACCAACTTTCTGCTAATGGGCGAATTACAGTTTTTTTCGCTCTTGTGACGCATGAACAGAAATATATCCGTAAAGTGCTTTTTACACTTGCCGCAAATATGAATATCATCTTCACTCTGCTCATCAGTCAAAGGCTGGTCAGATGGAATGTGCAAACCTGAAATAAATAAGAAAATTAATGAAACATTCCAAAAATTGGATAGTAGAAACAAAATAAGTGACATTAGAAAAGCTTAATGTTCCTGTTACTTACGGGGTATTCCCGACCCTGAAGGGATTATTATCATTCTGATTGTATGAGTTTCAACTGACTGGTTAGTTCAGTGACAATTTACACGGTTCTCCCCATTTCTGATTCCTACAATTCCTGTCAAAAGACAGTTGTTTACTAAATAAAAAAGGTTAGGAGCATTGTCGTTTGATTGCGTGGTCCATATCTGAGATAAGGACACCCCAAGTTTGAAACGATTAAAGTCTGATGCAATGAGATTTGTCACGCCGGAGTTGATCAAGATGTAGATAAACGGTACGCAAGGCACATACTTTGATGTAAAACCCTAGCAAAACCACAACAACACACATCCACTGACCGTAGCAGACAGACAGACGGACAGACGACGGTAACGGAAAGTGACAGCCGGACAGCAGTGTTACCACTCACACGGGTCTCAAAAATGAAAACTGGGGGTACAAATTTATTGTAGGGTACATTGCACTAGTCCGTTCTCAAAGCTAGAGGAGTCTGAAGCGCGACCTGAAGACAAAAAGTATTCGCGGTGATTTTCTTCTGGTATTAACTTGTCAAATCTACAAGTACTCCTCATGGCACACATTCATATTCGCATCGACCATTTCTCTACCCCTTTCCCTGTTCTGCCGCTCACCTCTCTCTCTTATCTCCCCATTTCTTAATTTTCCTCGGATCAAAGAGCAACTGATCTAAAAATAAAATGACGCATGACCCAGCAGTAAACTGCGAAAAAGACACATTTGCGTGGAGGTGGAAATTCCCTGGCGGTGTTCAATGAAGAACTTTTTTCTACAGCGTTCGCGATTCGCCGAACGGGGCGACAAAACCTTGTCAGAACATCCCCGAGCGCAACTTATCGCGTCTCGGCCTTGAGCGAGATGAGTGGGACTCGGTTATTTGTTTCCAAAGCTGATTCGCCGGCGAGATAAAGTGTGGTGGCTGTGTCTTTCCCCGCCCCCCGCCCATCAGCTGGTTCCGCCCCTGCCCCCGCCCCCTCCCCTCCGCCGCCCCCCTCTAGCAGCCGACAGCCACTGTGCGCCGTGCCACGCGAGGAGAGCAGGCCACTGCTTTCGATCTCCGTCAGTCAGAAGCGTTCAGAGTGCTGACCTTGACGGCGCGGCGTTTCTTCCTCCCCGATCTTGCCGAAATCCCACGAGCCATGGCGTCAGCAACCAAGATCGTGGGCATCACCACCAACTCCCTGCTCAAGGCTGCGCCGGTGTCGCTGTCATCGGCCGCGCCGTCCAGGCACAAGTGAGTTGACGTAACCCCGGTGCGAAGTGCGCTCGGTAAGGCCGCGTGCCGCGTGCTTTATCGAGTGAGTGCCCCGGCCTCGGTGTCGGTGGCGTTCAGTGTCGGTGGTCAAGGGCCGGGGCGGGTAGGGTTTGCCTTCGGCACGCCCCTCGTCAAGTACTCGCACTCAATCAAGGTCAGCTCAAGGTCGCTCGACTCAGACTCGCTGCCGCCCGGCGTACCAGTCCTTGTGTTCCATCTGTTTGGTCGTCCCACCCGCGCTCCGTTCGTTGACATGCCTCGTCAATTGGCCTCGTGGTTGCCCTGACGTCAGGGCGTCCGATGTCAAGTGGCTGGCTACTTCCAGTGTGGCGGTGCATTTAATTTCCTGTTTGTTCTGTCTGCCAGCTCATGGTGGTCCCACGTTCAGATGGGTCCCCCCGACCCAATCCTGGGTGTGACCGAGGCGTACAAGCGCGACCAGAATCCCAACAAGATCAATCTTGGTGTTGGAGCGTACCGTGATGACAACGGCAAACCTTTCGTTCTGCCAAGTGTACTTGAGGTAAGAACGATTGTCTTCGGAAACTTAGCTCTGTTTGTTGTGTGATGACACACCCATCTGAATTACATCGTACTCTCTTTTCTAGGCTGAAGAGCGCATGCGCAAGAAGGCACTGGACAAGGAGTATGCTCCCATCTCTGGTCCTGCTGATTTCTGCAAACACAGCATTGCACTTGCTCTGGGTGAAGACAGTGAACATCTGAAGAACTCTCTGGCAAGTTTGTCACTGGTGGTTGCAGTTACTTTATCAACAAGTGTATGGAAGTAACGTTCATTATTTTGCTTTGTAGAATGCTACAGTACAGGGTATTTCGGGAACTGGGTCCCTGCGTATTGGTGGTGCTTTCCTTCAACGATTCTTCCCTGGGTCGAAAGACATCTACCTGCCAACTCCTTCCTGGGGAAACCACACACCCATTTTCAAGGATTCTGGACTTAATGTAAAGCAGTACCGTTACTATGACCCTGCTACCTGCGGACTTAACTTCCAGGGTGCTCTGGATGACATTTCAGTATGTAACACTCAGGGCCTTTCTGACTGCTTGAATGGTTCTTACATACTTATTAACACACTAATAATATTCTTATTTGTTCAGAAAATCCCTGAGAAATCTATTATCTTACTGCATGCCTGTGCACACAACCCAACTGGTGTGGACCCCAAGCCAGAGCAGTGGAAGGAGCTTTCAAAGCTCATCAAGGACAAAAAATTGTTCCCCTTCTTCGATATGGCCTACCAGGGCTTTGCATCAGGTACAATTAACAATCCTAATCAATAAGATGCCCTTAGTTTCTCCCAGAAATGAAATAAATTTGAAATTGGTTTCTTAGGTGATGTTGCCCGTGATGCGTTCGCTGTGAGGCTTTTTGTGAAGGAAGGTCACCACATTGCTCTTGCGCAGTCCTATGCCAAGAATATGGGCCTCTATGGTCAGTATTGTTTGCAAGTTCACATGAATCATAACTTTGGTAGAGCTCCCTAGTTACTGATTTATTTCAGGTGAGCGTGCGGGAGCATTCTCTCTCGTTGCTGGCAGCAAACAAGAAGCTGACACTGTCATGTCCCAGCTGAAGATTCTTGTCCGACCTATGTATTCCAACCCTCCCGTTCATGGAGCAAGAATTGTGGCTGAAATCCTTGGTGATGCTTCTTTGAAGGCCACTTGGTAAGTTGTGTTTTTGCTCATTCTCTCTAGTCCGCTTGTCAACATTTTGATGGTGTAAAATACTTCGTTGCTGTTAATAGGCTGAAGGATGTGAAGGGAATGGCAGACCGTATCATTTCTATGAGGACACAGCTCAAGGATAACTTAAAGAAGGAGGGATCGTCCCACAACTGGACTCACATCACTGACCAAATTGGAATGTTCTGCTTCACTGGCATGAAGCCCGATCAGGTGAGATATTCTATGCTTTCTATTTTATTTGGTCCTGTGTCCAGTCCCATGTTCCCTTTGCTTATACGACTGTTTCTTCCTAGGTTGAACGGCTTACCAAGACTTTCAGTGTTTACCTTACCAAGGATGGACGCATTTCTATGGCTGGAGTCACCAGCAAGAATGTTGGATACCTCGCAAAGGCTATGCATGAGGTCACCAAGTAAATTTCCTGAAAACACCTTTTTTATATGCCCCCCCCCCCTTCCCCTGTTGCCCCCTTTTAAAATGCCAAACTTTTTAATGTATTTTACTGTGCATTTGTTAAACTGTAAGTTACCTGTACAATTTAGTATATATATGTTACTTGTGATGTATGAATCTGTCCACAAAGAAAACCAATCACATCAGATCTCTAGTCGCACTCAATCAAATGCATTCTTAAAGCTATCTAAATCAAATTAATGCAACATTCCTGCAAACTGTTGTGCACCTATTTTTATAATAGAAAATGTTGATGCATTTGATGTTCCGGTACAGTTGTAAAGACATGCCTATAAAGCCTTTATGAATAAAAAACAATTCCTCACTGTTTAAATTGAGTTGAGTTACTACCTCTAATAAATCCCAATTGCTGAAACATCATAGTATGCCTGCAACCTTGCAACCCTGTCTAGGTAGATTTTTCAGTTGATGCTGAGGGAAGCATCACTACCTTGGACTGACATTCATTTTTTCTGGCTTCAAAAACAACTTTCATGTGCAAAGGGCAAGGAAACTTTCCATCTAGAACATAATTCTGTCAAGTTTAACAAATTTTAATACTCTAATGTACAAAATATTTTACAACATTCTGGCATGATTATTTTTCAGAAGTAGTGAAAACGATTATTGTGAAGGTATTGCAGTATTATTCTCATTTCTTTCCTCCTTTAGCTTTGGCAATCTTAGCACCAGTTCTCACAGTAGGAGTGTCAACTACTTCATACATTATGGAAGATCCATCAAATGGATGGACATCAGCTGCATAAATGTCCTCTGGGTGCGTCTCTCCTTCTTTAGGTATGTAGGTTGGCAGTGGACGTGCATCTTTTGCCTCTCTAACCCACCTGATAAAAAAAATTAAAACAATTTAAATTCTGTGAAAGTTTTTCAAAGTTCTAAAAAAAAAAAAATTAAAAAATCCTTACCTGTGTTGCAATAAACAATCATGAATGTAGGTATAGGAGTTAATTTGTCCAGGAACATTTTGTCCAATAACATAAAGAACATTGTATTCAGTATTAATTCTCAAAATCTGAAAGGTTGAAAATGATCAGTTAATTTCCTATAAAGTTACATTTTAAGACACAGATCAGAAATCACTAGGGAACAAATTTCACACCTTCAAGCCTCGTAGTGTTCGTGTCTTTCCTCCCATGTGCCCAGGCATCTTTTTCCCTGGCCAAACACGTGCTTTACCTCCACCTGCACCAATATTACCAGGACGTCGATGAGTCTTTGTAACACCATGAGTAGCTCGCATGCCTTTGAAGCCCCATCTTTTCATGACTCCTTGAAACCCTCTCATTATCCTAAAATCCATACAAAAATTAGATTACATTAAATTTATTTATGATTTAAGAAACACATGAATACATGAACACATGAGTAATACTTACGTAAACCCTGTTACATCAACATAATCTCCAGCTCGGTAATGCATAGCATTGAGAGGAGTACCAGGAGGAAGAACTGCTTGAGGAGATATTAAAAACCTTGCCAGCCTGCGTTTAGGTGGAAGTCCCGATTCCCGGAACAATCCACAATAGTTTTTGGTGAACTGCAAAATGTAAATTGGACCTCAGCAGGGAAAGAAAAGAGCCTCTAATACATGATGAAAAAATGCATATGTATAGACATATTAGCAGCAAAAATACACCATACCTCCTGGGGATCTGCACTCTCCGCTCCGACAACCAAAGCACCATATCTACCCAGAGCCTTTTTGGGAACAACTTTTTCACGTCTTCTTAATGGAATAACATTCTCAGGTGGGTTATACTTTACAACATGGTTATCTACAATCTGAACAACAAGAACAGTAAGTCAGAAAGCTCAAAGCTTACATAAATGCCAGTCTCCGAAAAATTGTACTCACTTGTAATAGAGTACACATGACACGAGTTCCATCTTTGAGCCACATAGGCTGAATACCAATCTTCCTTGCTATTGTTGAGGTTCTTCTAATTCCAGGGAACCACTCTACGGGCTCAACTTTTGTGACATTTTTAACAGGAGAGCCGTAAGTCTGAACACCACTGACAACAGTTGGTGGACCAAATTCTTTAGCAATAGTCTCTTGTATGAATTCTTTGTTTTCTGCAGTAAGATTTTCAGAATAATGCTGAAACAGAGAATGCAGATTAATGTAGAAAATTCCATAAGACTCCAATGTGAGGAATGGGGAATGTCCATTTTACTTACAGAACGATCTTTCCGAACGTGCCAGTAAGGATGACGAAATCTGGGTATTTGAATGATTTTGTGGCTCCTCACTTGTGTCACACAAACTTGAAACCTGTAGAGAATTACAATTATAATAATAAAATTGAAAATATAACCTACAGCATGCCGACAGTACTAAATACAAAGTAATGACGACGAGGGGTTAAAACATCTATCCCAGCCTCTCTGAATGGAAACCTATCAGCAAGTAATCGTACCGAACATCAAGAGCACTAGAATTTGATTTAGAATTGCATAGAATCCCTTGAAATAGAGATATAGCACGGGCCCTTAGAGCAGCCATCATGTGTTTTTCTCTTTCCTTTCGCTTTCTTTCTCTCTCACACAAAACAAACGCTACCTTCGAGCAGACGACGCACAGTGTACCAACAAGCAACAAATGGTGAATGTTTATCTTTTATTTTATTTTTGTTAGATTTGTTTTTTTATGAAAAGAAAATTCATCGGACATATATTTTTAGGAATTGCGAGCTATCTCTAGTACATCAGTACATCAGTACAATTTAGCAGTGATTAGTATTCACCTCACATACCAACATTACAGAGTCCCTCTGTCAAAGGGGTGACGGTTTCACACGTTTTGGTCTGCTCCTGTTTTATTCTAGCTACAGCTGTGGGTTTTGGTGTTGCGACTTATTGCTTATGGTTTTTGTTGCAAGATCAATATTGATTGTCAGTTACAAAAATGTTTGCTAAACCCTTCCAAGTAAAAAAGCAATAGTCAACTGAAAGGATCAGCAAGGTATGATCTCACATATTATCTACCTTTTCAAATAAATTTCATTCTAAACTCCATTCTTATGCATCCTTTGGTTTTATCATTATGTCAAAAATTTGTTGAGTGACTTGTCTTTTTATTTCCTTTTGCTCTAATGACAGTGCTTTTGCTGAATCCAAGTTAACGTAGTTCCGACAGTACTGAACATGTATTCAACAAAAATCATCCTCTTCTTTTCAGGAAAAAGTTCAGAGCTGATGTATTGAAAGCGTTTCCTGCCATCACAGAAGATGCCTTCAATGAATGTATTCCAAATAAGGACCCGGTGTCTGTGATGAAAGTTTACACTCATACTAAACAGGCGGTCCATGTGTACAGCATAGAAAAAGGTCCAATTGCATTTGAGATGGAAAACAAACTGTTTCCTGCATTATATTTATTGTGGCAGTTCCCTGATTTGGTTCCAACATTCACTACATGGCCCCCGGTAGGTGCAAATTACATCTTATTCATTTTTGCCAAATATCCACTTGACCAACACTTTACGTGTTAAATTTTTTTTTCAGGTGCTTGACAAAATTAAGAATGGAGCAGATCTCATGCTTCCTGGGGTTGTGTTACCTGGTGGCGTCATAGGAATTAATTCCTATGGTACACTAGAAAAAGGGGATTGTGTTTCAGTTAATTTATCAACTAATCGAGCTCCTATCGCTGTTGGTGTTGCTGCACACTCCAGCCAGGACATGTACATGTGTGGAGGACGAGGAAAATGTGTCAACGTTCTGCATTTTGTCGGAGACCTGTTATGGTCGCAAGGAAAATATAATGTTCCAGAGCTAGGCCCTCCCAATATGCCAAATATGCCTGATGAACTGGGTGGTTCAGAAGAAGAGGATGAAAGTAGTGAAGATGATTCAGACCAGAAGTCCTCTTCTTCTTCTTCTGATGACGATGATGATAACGACAAAGAAGAAGCCGGTGGTAATTGTTTTTGACTAGATCATTTATTAATTAAGCTTTATTGTTACTGATGGATGTGTGTCACATACCTGAACTTTCTGCTATCTTACAGGGGTAAAAGAACTTGAACAAAAGTTCAGTGACATGGAAACTGCGGACGTGTCTAGCTCACCTGCTCCAGTAGAAACAGAAGCAGAGGCTATGGATAAATTAATAAGGTTCTGCTGTATAAAAGCACTTAAAACATCAGCTGCTAAGGTGTGTATTTTCTTAACAACCTGTCTGATGTGTGATGCATTGTATTTTGCACATCACTAGTGTGGGAATTTGCATAAGATCTTCAAGTACAGTAACCATTTTTTTCTCTCATTATAAATTTTCATTAGGTGCCTCTTCCTATTCTTGCAAGCAATTTCTATAAAGTGCATATGCTCCCAGCTTGCCCCTCTGGAAAGTCTGTTGATTTAAAGAAATCATCATATAAAAAGCTTGGAAAGTTTTTGGATGAAATTGCTGAGGAGAAGATCCTAGTTCAAAAGGAATTAAGCAAGGGTGTAATGAGTATAACTTGTGAGTGGTAAAATATTCCAAATCAGTTGCAATACCCTAACTCTTCTACTATGGCAACTGAAAAACTTCTAATATAATTAAAATATCTGTTCCAGCCATCAATTATAAGCACGAAGCTATTCTAACATTTTTGGACCTTGATGCTGTTGTAGTAGGAAATGCCATGCAGGGCCATTCACTAGTGGGGAAATGCATTTGTGGAGAAGTTCACACCGAGCAAATGTACTCTGTTACACCAGCTGTTCTCCCAATATTTGGGCTATATTCCAACAGGTATGGCAATGACTTGGTAAACACAGCTGTGGATTTAAAAAAATCAATTTTAAGCTATTTTACTTTTTTTTTTATTTTAAAAAAGGCTAGGAGATCAGCTTACTGCTTCTTCTGTCAAAAAGGTTGTAATGGACTATGTGACCAGTAAGTCCCTTTCAAGTCCAGACACAAGGTAATTAATTAATACAATGGCAATTCATAGATTCTTTGCATTTAACTTTACTTAATTTATTAAACTTTGTTTCTTAGTGACATAAAGTGTGATGAAGTCCTTGCCCAAGCAGTTCTGGGAATTCCTCCAACTGAGGCCTTAGTTCTTCAGTGCAGTGATTTACTTAAAAGAATAATGGCTCGGATGCTGGACACTAGTACTTTGCCCCCACCAAAAGTAGCCAAGGAAGATAAAGGAAAACTGACTCCTATAGATATTCAAACTGCAACTCGAACTGGAAACAAGAAGGTGCATTGAAAAATGATTATTATTACTGTTCATAGCATAGTTAATCCTGAACACACATAAATGCATTATTTGTAATAACTTTTTAGGTAACATTGGTTGCAAATTTGGAAATTTATGGAGTTGATGTTGCCGAATTTGCTAAGGAGTGTCAACGAGGTGTTGCTGCTAGCACTACTATTAACCCATTGCCTGGGAGAAAAGGTGTTCAACTCCAAATTCAGGGAAATCAAGTACGCTTCATTTCACAGTTATTGCATGGTAAGTTCAGGCTGATATTTATGTGACAGACCTTTTCTTTCACTTCCTCACTTAAATTTAAGTTTGTTTTGCTCTGGCAGACAAATACAGGGTACCCATAGCAAACATGCGTGGATTGGACAAAGCTCCAAAAGTGAAAGGCCAGAAGAAAGCTCCTGCAAAGCCAAAACCAAAACCGAAGTAGAAAATTCACTTCTAACTAAATGTGCATTGACCTGAGGATAATGAACTTTTTACTTTAAAAAGGGATGGTTCTTTTAGTCACTTTATTTAATACTCCTTCCATCAAAGACATGGTTCATACAATCCAGAGGATTATTAGGTAAAATTTCTCAATGAATAATAATCTTCATTAAAAATAAAACTATGATCCATTTTAACACAACTGTGTCAACAAAAAAAAAAAACAGACCAAAACTTGTAAAACTCTTATCTAAAAAAAATTATCATAAAAGAAACATTTCATCAATATATGCACCCTGTAAGTTGAGACACACGCTGATAGCACACTAACATATTATGTACATGACATTTTATACACTATTTCCTCCAGAGGATGGCACTAATTCCCTAGTACCGCCCAGTTCCTAAGTAAGCAGTCTCTAACTAAGAAGATCCTATAGTCTGATCAATAATACATGGACGGATGTTCCTCAGCCCACTTAGGTAGGTTGGTGTGACTTAAGTATCAAGTACAAATGGCTACTATGTAACTACACAAAATCACTGATGCAACAATTAGGTTAAAGAACATTGGTCGAAAGGGAAATCACTTCAGTTCATCAAGGAGATCAGGCAGGAAGTAGTAAAATGTGAAAAGCAAACAACTGCAGAACATCCGTATAAAAAATAGGACAGCAAAAGAGGGAAGACATTCTAAAATATTATTTCATAAAACTTCTATAAAATATATGGAAAAAATACAAATCTTAAAAATATAATCAATAAAAAGCAAAACCCATAAGGTAAATAATGAGCACATGTTTAGATCAATCTGTTGCGAAAGATTTTTTTTTTCTAAGTGCACAACAGGAATGTATCTCTTTTCTTTTAAACATTTCAGACTATCCATTTCTGGGAATGATTAACATAAATATTTCCTAATATCAACATTTACAAAGAATACGTGGCTCAAAAGTCAAGAATATGAGACAAAATAAACAAGGACAGTCAACAAGTTTGAAGCACACAAATTCGTCACTCAATGAAGTTCAAAGTGGTCCCACAATTGAAACATAACACAGTTAAGTATGACATTTGTGAAACTCACATTCACAATTGTGTTAAAGAAAAAAACTAAAAATTCTAATTGGTTACTTAAATAACATAGCCCATCATGCTGTGATGAATGATAGCAATCTGATTGCTTTCATATCTAGAGAGTCGTATATATTGTGGGTGTATTCGACTAGACCTGAATTCATTACCCACTCTTTATACAAACATGACAGATTGGACCAGGCTGAAAATACATCACACCACAAATACTGCAAGTAAACAAGTGAAAATACACAAAATGTACAAAATTGTAATCAATTATAAACTAGCGGTACCTATTAAAAATGAAAACAAGCTTCCTAAAGCAGGTACTGTTATGGCCATTGGGAGCCCCATTAAACACTGCTCTAGGTAATACTTCAAATAACAATAACTTTATATCATTTAGGTATTAAGAAATAAAACCACTAGATTAACATAATGCAGACTTGTGCAATGGAGAAGAGGGGCTGGTAACTCAGGTTGTGTTGTGCTGAAGTGGGTTGTCTGACAAGTTGGTTGATTGTTGTTGGCTCAGAAATAAGTTTTGCTTAATATTTTTTGAGCCGCACGAATTAGAGGAGTTAGTGAGCTGAGCTTGGCACAATCTTGTAAGAAAGGATGCTTCAATAACTCATCTGCACTGGCTCGTGTATCAACATCAACTTGAAGACACCGGTCTAAAAAGTCCTGGAGGGAAATACACAAAAATCAACTCATAGAGAATGACACTTGGACAAATGAAACAAATTTCCAGTAAATTGTTTTGTAGGCAACAGCCTTACCTGTAACTCTGGGGAAAGGCTGTCCCAACGCTTAATTTGAGGTCTGCCAATGGCAGCTATCAGGTAGAGTGCACGAAGCGGTGTCTCTTTCAAGTATGGTGGTTCTCCTTCAATCATTTCAATAGCCATTATTCCCAAAGACCATATGTCAACTTTACGTCCATACTGTTTCCGAGTCACAACTTCAGGAGCCATCCAATATGGAGTTCCCACCATTGTTTGCCGCTTTTCATCCCCAACAATATTTGCACTGAATCCAAAATCAGTGAGCTTCACTGTTCCATCAAGACCAAGAAGAACATTGTCAGATTTCACATCTCTGTGTATAATGCCCTGAAGAAAAGGAGAAAACTGGAGTTGAAAATAACTGACAAAGTCACAGTCCACACACAATTGTTCTGCATGCAGAATTCAAACCTTGGCATGCAGGAAGCTTATAGCCTTCAATACTTCTCGACAGACTGCTGCAATTTGCTTGTCTTTCATTACAGTTTCAGTAACAACATCTGTCAATGGTCCTCCTTCTAACAGTTCCATAATAACCTGAGGAAAACAGAAGAACAAGTAAATTAATTACTGAAACACAGAAGAAAATATCTGCTGTCCACAAAGACATGTATGAATCATGCATTTACTTACCCAGAGATGATCATCTACTAGGTAGGCATCCAGGAAATTGACTAAGTTATCATGATTAAAATCTTTCATGACTCGAATTTCATTAAGAATAAGTTCTTTGCGGGGCTGCTTTGACAAATCTATGTCCTTGATTGCAACCTTCTGGTTAGTCACAATATCTCTAGCAATAGAAACTGTTCCAGATGCTCTGAAATGGAAAAAAAAGTGAAGGTGTTGCAACCGGACATGTCTAAGTACTTCAAAATGCAAATGCAATAGTTGTTTAAAGCCTTACCCTGCACCAAGTTCAGATTTCATTTCAAATCGCCGTTTTGGGTTTCCTTGATTACAGATTCTCCTCAACTCAGCATAAACTTCCTCCTCGTTCAATTGATCTATGGAACGGTCATCTGTTTTTCTCCTCAAAACTGGACTCTCATTGTCACTATGGCTGTCAGGTAAAATTGGATCAGGAAGCGTTGAAACTTCCAGTTGCAAATTCTTCAAGCTCTCTTCAAGTGCGTCATTTATCAGTGTGCAGTTTGATGCTTCCTGGTCATCCTGCACATTAGAGTGTGTTTTCAAACTGTTCCACAACACCCCAAAAGCAAAAGCACGAAAAAAATAAAAAAAAACAATTACCACACCTTTTTTTCAACAATGTACGTAGACCGATCAAAAGCTTCCCCATAGTCAGACTGAAGAGATGATCGAGGTGTAGCTTCTTCTGAAGAGGAGCATGGTGATACAACCCTGTCAGTACCGTCACTGAGTATACTGAGTGTCAGGTTATTGCAGCCCTTAGCACGGCCTATGCAACAGAAAATGTAAATGTTGGGAAAATGAAGAAAACAAACTTGAGCCTGTCTACAACTAATGGATGACCAAATCAAAACGCACTCCAAGGTCAATTAGTAAGCAAATTAGCATTAATTTATGCCTTACCATCAGGTAATAAACCTCATAATCCAAGCCGCTTGCAAAAATACTAATTGTTTAAAAAATTAATTATTGAAAAATGATGTTTGCAAAGTGCCAGAAGCGTAGTAGTCTTAGAAAGCCCAAATAACCCACAGTGGATGAAACACCATCAATTTTATATTGAACCTACCCAAACCGATGTTTTCTCCAAGAATTTTCTCAATTTCTTTTGATTCCTGCTCAATAACTCGTTCTGTTGCTAGAGGTTTAAAAGTGTCCGAGTGCCGTTTCTTGATAGAATAATTATAAAATTTGATGGCCTGAAGAGCAGCATTTGGATTCTCATCTTGTTCTGCTTTCCTGTAAACGAATTCATTATTGGATGAAGCTAAATAACACATGTAAAAAATTTTGACACGCCTAGGGAAGTGACCTTCACTCTGGGAAAATTTTTAACAGGACAAAGGTAAATTGCTCTAACAGAGAGTATTTTTTAAAAGAATGTCTTCTTTCAATTATTTTATATTCCTGCATCAAAATCATGAAGGAAAACGATGCTCTGGGAAGAGTGACAGAACAACAGGTGAGTCACAACAATAACATAACCTCACTACAAGAATTCCTTTAATGATTAAAAAGATCAAAATTTATGACATCCCTTTTGAACGGATGGCCAATTTAACACTTATACTTACAAGATCCTTATCAACTTACGTTATTTGTGTGTTCAAAAGCCTGAGCCAGGGCGTTGGGAGGCCCTCTAGAAGGCCAGTCTCTTTATTTCTACTAACATGAAATTCATGAAGTACGTTAGTTGGTCGACCGATTTCTGTTGGGCCCTCGTTAGCATGCTTCTTTTTGTTGGAAGAAAAAAACTTAGAAATTGACAAATTCATTTCTAACAACTCACAAAACTCCCTACATAAACAACAACTTCAGCAGTCGACGCTAATCAAAAAAATTAAGCGAAGTCCCCCCCCAGGAGGTTCGATTTCGATTTATGAATCGAGAGCCTCTTCGAGACATCTCGATTGTCTCGACGGCGGATTGGGAGGGAATTTTAAACCAGCGGCGAGGCGCAGCAGCGACGTGTTCCTCTGGGAGTGCGTATCACACGCAAAATTCGTCGCAAAGCTTCGGTAAATTTATCTCAGGAAAATTGTGCCTGACTCTAGGTTACACCCTCCCTCCCCAACAACATTGGTTCCCTGACTTTGAGAAACGGATAAAAGCGGATTGGGTGGTGACTCGTTCGTAATCAACAGTGTTTTCCAGAAGGCAGGACATTTGTGGCGATGTTTGCGATCGATACGGCCCCTCTGCCACGCGGCACTTCGCGGCACGCGGACGCGGCGCGGCGCCACCCTCGCCAACATCGCCAACAACAAGGGCGGCACGGCGAAGCGGCGAAGCGGCGAAGCAGGGCAGGCGAAGCTAGCGAAGCTCGGCGCACTCGCATTTTGCGGCCGGGCGGGACAGGTTGAAGTTGAAGCGGGGGCGGAGCGCGGAGCGACGCGACCCGGAGCAGGGCGCGCAGGGCGAGAGAGAGGGAGAGAGGGAGAGAGAGAGAGAGAGAGAGAGAGAGAGAGAGAGAGAGAGAGAGAGAGAGAGAGAGAGAGAGAGAGAGAGAGAGAGAGAGAGAGAGAGGGAGAGAGGCGGTCGATACCGACGCGAGGCTCACGCGTGGCGGGCGGGCGGGCGGCAGGGGCGGGACTAGGCGTGGCGGCGGGGCGAGTGGCCGACGGGGGGCCGCGAAGGTAAAGGACTTTACTCAAGCGACTCGAGAGCTTTAGCGCGTCCCGGCGGTTGCTGTGGCAACTATCTGCCGCGCGGCCGGCCCGGCGGGCACCGGCAGGCAGGGCGGCGTCAACATTCCTCTTTATGCAGGGGTGGGGGAGGGCGCGGAAGGCCGACGCCGAGCTGACGGCCCGACGGCCGCCGCGGCCGTGCCGAAATCAGATAGGACGCCACGCGGGCATTAGCCCTTTGGACCTGCCTGGGCGTTAGGGCAGGTTCGGCGGACGTGTGGGCTACACTGTGGGAGGAGGGCGGCGGCTCTTTTGCAAGACTACCCGAGGGAGTTGAACAGGTTCGGCCGTCTCTGCGACGGCGCCCAGGAATCCCCAGACCTTCCCTGTGCGAGTGAAGGGCGTACCATGGCGCCTACCCGGCCCACAGTGGAACAGAAACCGGCGGAGGCGGCCAAAATTCTAGACGCGTTTTGAGCTCCAGAGTCGCTAAATGGGACTCGAACCGAACGTGTGACCCCACCAATGGATTGCTCTCAGGACGAGGAATCCATTGGTGGGGTCACACGTTCGGTTCGAGTCCTGCTTAGTGACTCGGGAGCTCAAAACGCGTCTCGAATTTTGGCCGCCCCCGCCGGTTTCTGGCCCACTGTGCGGCCCCGCTTCTGCCATTGCAGACAGCGCCGACAGGCAAAGCGGCCAAATTGAAACGCCGGCCCGGACTCGTCCCTCGGCGGACGATGGACGGCGGACGATTCCGCCAGCTGCCCGTTCTCATATTGATCGCGTGTGCTGTTGACCGATGACCCTTACAACCCCTCCAATATTGACCATGCCGTTCTGGCAGCGCCACTAACAGTGAGGTAGCAGGGCAGGGTGTACATGGAGGGTGTCTCGTGCCCGGGCCTCGGGGAGTGTTTCGCCACAGCACACCCGAGGGCGTAATCACAGCGAAGGGCGGCGAGGCGGACCAGCGGCGCCGCCCCTCCAGTGCAGATGCACAGTGGGCCAGAAGACCGGTGGAGGCGGCCAAAACTCTAAACGCGTTTTGGGCTCTAGAGTCGCTAAATATGACTCGAACCGAACGTGTGACCCCACCAATGGATTCCTCGTTCGGAGAGCAATCCACTGGTGGGGTCACACGTTTGGTTCGAGTCCTGTTTAGCGACTCTGGAGCTCAAAACCTGGCCGGGGTTTTGGCCCACTGTGCAGTGCCCTGCCCACCAGGCCCTTCACAACCCTCCCTTCCTGGCCCCGTTTTGCACCCGGTGGGTAGGCAGCCCATCCGGCGCCGGGAAGCACGCTCTGTTGCAGCCGGAACAGGCCGAACAGGCGAACGGGGAGGGGCTGAAAGTGGCAAGAGAAATGGCTCTGCCAATACCCCGCGCGGTGAGGCCGTGCAGGCCGTGGAGCGAGCCGTGGAGGCCTTTCTTGGAGGCCTTCGTTGGGGCCTTCTTGGAGGCCGTCGTGGAGGCCGTCGTGGAGGCCGTCGGGGTGTCCGTCGTGCGCAGGCTTTCGTGGGGGCCGTCGTGAAGGCCGTCGTGAAGGCCTTCGCGGAGGCCGTCGTGGAGGCCGTCGTCGAGGCCGTCGTCGAGGCCGTCGTCGAGGCCGTCATCGATGCCGTCGTGGAGGCCTTCGTGGAGGCCGTCGTGGAGGCCGTCATGGAGGCCGTCGTGGAGGCCGTCGTGGAGGCCGTCGTGGAGGCCTTCGTGGAGGCCGTCGTGGAGGCCTTTTGGAGGCCATCGCGCAGGCGTAGTTCTCTGCAAACTCCACACACCCAAGCGTGGAGAATTCCTCCGCACCAGGAAAGTGGAGTTGTCCACTCTTGGTTTGGCAGTGGAGGCGCGCCGGCAGTTTTTGGAGTATTCCCGACGTCCGCGCCAAAGTGTCGCTGGGAAGCCCGAAGCCCGGCCGGCGGGCAAATCTATTTAGCCAAGCGGCGCCGTGTCGTGTGTACACACTGAGGCCGTAGCAGTGTGGGAGCGGGCCGCCGCGGGCGGGACGGAGGGGCCGGGGAAGGCCGGCGCGGTCCCCAGGCCCCAGGCCGCCGCCACTCGGGGGCACGACGGCCCGCCGCAAGAGGCAGAGGCCGGCGGCTCAAGGCGATTATTGTAAACGTCGTTGACAGCGCGCCTCCGCCTCCGCCACGTCGGCCGCCACGTCGCACAGTGGGCCAGAAGACCGGTGGAGGCGGCCAAAACTGACGCGTTTTGAGCTCCAGAGTCACTAAGCAGGACTCGAACCAAACGTGTGACCCCACCAATGGATTCCTCGTTCGGAGAGCAATCTATTGGTGGGGTCACACGTTCGGTTCGAGTCCCATTTAGCGACTCTGGAGCTCAAAACGTGTCTAGAGTTTTGGCCGCCTCCGCCGGTCTTATGGCCCACTGTGCGTCGGCCGCCACGTCGGCCGCCCCGTCGGGGCTGACATGTCGCCCCAAGTCCATTCCGCCCCAAGCCTCGCCTCGCCAGCCCCAAGTCCGAACCCAAGTCCGGGACGACTCCCGATTGCATGTCCGTCCGTGCCATTTCGCCCCAACTTTTTCTCATTGACTTGTACTTCTCGTCCACCACTACACTGTTGACTTTCAAAAAATAATCGGAACAAAACTATATTAAAAGATGTATTAAATTCGCAATCGCCTTTCATTTTCTTCACAAGGCGATGCTTCGCATACTTTTAAAGGTGTGATGGCGTGATGGGTGATCGGGCCGACGAAAGAATGAAGAATAACAGCTTTTCAGAGACGTAACATATTTTATAAAAACAATATTGAGCAAAAAGGAAAACACACAACAGCCCGTCTAATGTTCGACGACAATCCAAAACGCACTCCCTCCAGCAAAACAACAAAGAAAGCATTCGCTCGTTGAAATGAGCCGAAACGCGTTTCACCAGAAGATAGATAGCGGCAGGGGGGCACATTATCTCTGTGGACGGATTTAATTAAATCTTTTTATCCCCGGCGAAAACAAAAAATGAAGGCGTGATCGCGCGCTCCCCCCACTCTCGCGGTTCGTTCCAACGGCCCCGGGCCCCGCCCTGTTCTCCGGTTTCCCGGTTTTGGCAGCAGAGGTATAGAAAAAGAGGAAGTGGAGGGGGCAGTACCCGCGACAGACTTGAAGCAAGAAGCGGAGACTGGTGACCGGAAGGACGTGAAGGGGGTGAGGCCTTGGGGGTCACCGGGTCGCAAGTAGCGCGCTCCCCGCCACGCCGCGGGCCACGCCCTGCTACGGGTGTGCAGGGCCCTGCCAGGGCGCACAGCGCGCACAGCCCGCAGCATCCTTGCCCCGCACTGTTGCTGCCCCCTCCCTGACTCCGGAGGGGGCCTCCTTGCAGCGCGAACCAGCGCGGGGTATCGCCGCGTGGCGCCCCCTGGCGGAGTGCCCCCCACACTGGAAGCCGCTGGAAGCTGGAAGAGAAGGACCGAGCCCCGCCCTTCCCGGATGCTGGGGGCGGTGGAGGCCGCCGGGGGCCGCTGGGGGCGGTGGCACGGCTGGCCTGGCCTCGTCCGGGACCCGGGACTCCGGGACCAGGGACCCGGGGGCGGGCGGGGGCCTGGGGGCCTCGGACTGGGTCTGCCCGGGCTAGGTCTCGGCGGGGGCGGAGCCGCCATGGTGCTGCATGTGCTGGCATGATGCTGCCCCCGACCCGAGCCCCTCATCGGCCGCCAGCATCAGCCCCCCAAACCGCCCACCGCCCGCCACTGAGGCCGAGCCGCCGGGCAGACGAGAATTTGGAGCGACATGCTCGCGGTGCCAAGCTGGAAAACACCAGACTGCCTGTCCGGATGTCTGCAGGCATGCTGGCATCGACCTCATGGCCGGCGGGGCCGCCGTGGTTCGCTCAGCCCGCGGCAGAGGATTCGCTGATGAGTCTTCTCCGCGACCGTTCCCTGGCGGTGCGCACCCTGATGCGGGGGCAGGAGCTGGCCGCGCCGCCCTCGGGGCCGACCGCGCCGCCGCCGCCGCCGCCGCCGCCTGCCGCGGCCTCCAGGCCTCCGCGGGCCAGCTGGTTGAAGTCGATGATGGAGAGCAGTGGCGGAGGCGAATCGCCGCCGGGGGTGGGGTGCGGGCCCCGCTCTGCCCGCTCGACGGGCGCGGCCGCGGCGGCCGCGGACGACGCGAACCAGGACGACGAGATGACGCCGCCGCCGCCCACCTGCAAGACAGAAAGAAAGCTGTTGCTGGAGCACGCCGAGCTCGCCACGCCGCAGCCCGAGGGCCGCCCTTTTCCCTTTGCCGCGAGTTCCGCCGGGGCCCTCAGTCTAATCACGCAGCCGCTGCGGGCTTTCCTGCTTCCTCCGCCACTCGGGACGTGCCGCGCTGCCGCCCTGCCGCCCTGCCCGGCCGTCTTCACCAAGACCCCTTCAGACAAGGCGGCCAACAATAAACACTCCGGCGCCAATACGTTGCTTCCGCCTTCGGCATCCGGTTTTATCGACAAGGGCGTGGCGGGGCCGGGCGTGGTGGGGGAGGGGTGGCGTCGCGGCACGGCCGTGGCCACGCTGTGGCACAGCAGGGTGTGGCCCGGCCCCAGCGCGCCCCAGCGCGGCCCCGCGCAGCCTGTAGCGCCAGCAGCTCCAGCATCAGAACAGAAAAACTACGGGTGGGGGGCACACGTGCAAGTCCCTACCGCCTCCTCCCCGCCGTGCCTGCCGTGCTGCCATGCCGCGCTGGCTGGGGCCGTGGCGGCCGCCATGTCTCTGTGCTCGGTGCTGGCGGTGCACAGTGGGCCAGAAGACCGGTGGGGGCGGCCAAAACTCTAAGACGCGTTTTGAGCTCCAGAGTCGCTAAACAGGACTCAAACCGAACGTGTGACCCAACCATTGGATTCCTCGTTTGGAGAGCGATCCATTGGTGGGGTCACACGTTCGGTTTGAGTTCTATTTAGCGACTAGAGCTCAAAACGCGTCTAGAATTTTGGCCGCCCCACCGGTCTTCTGGCCCACCGTGCGCCGTGTCTCTGTGCTCGGTGGTGGCGGCGGTGGCGGCGGGCGCCTGAAGTCTGGAGGTAGGCCGTCCCGCAACACACGGGCGCGCCCGGGCGTGCCTATGCCGCCATCCGCAGGCTGAGCACTGTACACTGTACGACCCGCGAAAGTCAAACTCAAACGAAACTCCCGGGGAAACGTCGCCGGCGCCCGAATATGAGCACTCTGCACTCAGACTGGCAAACCGGACGGCTGCATTCGTCATTCGCAGTCGAGGGGATATTGAAACTTGTCGCCGCAGGCTGTGCAAACTTAACATCCCAGCGTGGTTGTTGGAGCTAGTACGTCGCAAACGGCTTAAGTTAAAACAGTCATGCCTGAACAAATTAAATTTGGAATTGAATTTTGATTCGGAGTGGTGCTGCTGTGCATGATCATTTTGAAATATGTGGTCGTCTGCGACCTATAGACACCAGCAATCGCAAAAAAAGCGAGGGGTCAACCACTCTGGTAATCGTGTGAACTTCGTCCAGTAATCAATCGTCATTACGTAGTCGTAAAACCTGGCTATTTTCGCCGTTTTTATCGGATTTTGTTTTTTTTTTCTTATGAAAATAGCCCAAAAATGCTCTTAGCTGGTCAAAATTATAGTTTTTTGAGTACTTTGTAGGTGATCACTGGTAATCAGAAATCCTGTGTAGCTGAGTATTTCCTTCTCTAGTGTCCAATGTAATGGCTCTGACCCCCTGTAACTTATTTTATTATTAAAGATGTTTTATAAAAAAAAGGGGTGGACCCCTCGAAAAAAGGTTGAGTTTGCAGCCCCGCCCTCGGCATGGGAGCGTCGTACTCACTTTCCTGCGGGCGCGCGGCGCCCCCGGCGGGCTGGCGTGCCGGGGGGCGTACCTGCCCGTCCTGGGGGGGCTGCGGTGCGGGTGGTGGGGGCCCCGCGGGGGGCTGTGGCTGGAGCGCATGGGGCGCGGCGGAGGAAACGGCCGCCCGGCCAGGAAGTACGTCTCGGCGTCCTCGTCCTCGTCCTCGCTCGACGAGGTGATGACGCAGTAGCACTGTACCTGCGGCGCGGAATGGGGAAAGGGGTGAGGGACGAGTGGAGCTGCGAAAAGACAAACGGAGATTCGCGAGGGGTACCTCACTTCGTCTAGTCAGTGTACACCCCTGACTCCAGTCACTGCCTCGTTTCAGTCTAATCACTGAAAAAGTCGGTCAAACCACGTAAATTTGTCCCAATTTTAGTATTTTTGCAACGCATTTCGTGATATTTTCAATCTAGTCAAAGTGGAAATTGAGTATAGTCACCAGTCAGTGTACACCTGTTTTCGAAGTGAGGTACCCCTCGGAGATTCGTCTCGTTGTTCTACCTGGTGGGGTCGGAGCTGCTCCACGCGACCCCCGGGTGTCCTTCGCCGGGGCTCTCTGCTTGGCCAGGACCTGGGACCCAGGAAGAGTTTTAAAAACCCTGCAGTAAACGCTGAACAACCTACTTTGTTCCGGTTTTGCTTCCAATTTGTCGAAGTTTTCCTGACGCCTACTGTACCTGGACCGGCGGCGGTGCCGCGGCCGGCTGCGCCTGGCCCGCTTGAGGGCGCCGGGGGAGGCGGGCAGCCCCACGGGGATGACGCCCACCACGTGGTAGTAGTCCAGGTAGGTTCGCGCCACGTTCCGGCCCAGGCGGTAGTCTGTGCGCGCGTCAAGGACGCTCCGTCTCTCTCGCACTCGCGGCGCGTGCCGCACGGGTGCGAGAGAGACGGGGCTCTCTGTTCGAGATCGGCCTGCTGTCGGTCAGGCCGCAGCACAGTGGGCTGGAAGGCCGGCGCCGGCGGCCAGAACTTTGGACGCGTTTTGAACTCCAGAGTCGCTAACCAGGACTCGAACCGGGCGTGTGACCCCACCAATGGATTCCTCGTCCGGAGAGCAATCCATTGGTGGGGTCACACGTCCGATTCGAGTCCCATTTAGTGACTCTGGGGCTCAAAACGCGTCCGGGATTTTGACCGCCTCCACCGTTCCTGTGGCCCACTGTGCGCAGGGTTGCGAGTTTGCGGGTTTCCTCGGATCGGCAAACCCGCAGCACTGCGGCGAGCTACGCCAGCTACACTGGTGAAAAAGGATACAGCCCTCCTCGCTGTAGTTGAGGAAGTAGGGTGGGGTGTCCCGGCGGTAGCCGTGCAAGGAGGCGAACAGCGTGTAGCAGTTGACGGAGTCCTTCAGCGTGGCGCACAGGTACCTGGAGGCAGAAACCCGCCTTTGGCTTTTCGGTCGTTCCTTTCACTCCAAGTTCCGTTTCCGGTGTGCCGACCTCCGCGCCGTGCCAGCCTTCTTGGGGTCCCGGTTGTACATCGTGTCCAGGGAGTTGAAGTCCTCCGCGTTCTGCGCCAGCAGCTTGGGGTACACGATGTGGCGCTCGTACCTGCAGGCAGCCAGCCGAGTGATTCAGAGGAGTCGTTTCGTCGCCCTGTCTCTCTCGCACTCATGGAGCTCTCCGTAAGGGTGCGAGAGAGACAGAGCGACAAACCGCTCTTCTGAATCCCTCGACACGCGTTGAACCGAGATGGAGAGGCGGAGAGAAAGGGAAGGACAGCGATAGAGAAGCGGATCTCCGAGCCGCTCGCAGTGACGTCTCTGAGAAGACAGCTGGCTCGTTGCGGCGAGGCAGGGAACGGGGTAAGGGTAAATTGTCAGGGGGGGGGGGGTAAGTTTCTCCGGGGTAAGAGGAGAGCATCCCAGGGGAATTCGATAAAGGGAGCGCAGGGAGGGGCGCGGCGGGGAGAGTCGGGACCGAGATGTTGTCAAAGTCTTTCAAACCGAATGGAACCCCCTCCCCACCCCCCTTTCCACTGAGACGTGCTCGGCGTCCCTCCACTAAAACTGTCGCTCACGCCAAAAGGACACAAAAAAGGGCGAAAGAGAAAGGAGGCGAGGACGGCAGATAGCGGCACTCGAGAAGATGAGATTTTAGCTCGGATTATAGTGTGCGGCACGGCGGCGACACCGACACGCAAACGGGCCTTTCGACTGTGCGCAGCCGCCGCCTGACGATACTGCGACTTCCACGTCGGCGACGTCAGAGAGCACATGAGCGATGAAGCAGGGTCACTGGGGGCACGGACGACGCACAGTGGGCCAGGAACCCTGGCGCGGCGAAAACTCTCGACGCGTTTTGAGCTCCAGAGTCGCTAAACAGGACTCGAACCGAACGTGTGACCCCACCAATGGATTCCTCGTTCGGAGAGCCATCCATTGGTGGGGTCACACGTTCGGTTCGAGTCCCATTCAGCGACTCTGGAGCTCAAAACGCGTCCGGGATTTTGACCGGTCTTTCTGGCCCACTGTGGGATGGACGGACCTGTACACGTCGTCGTAGGAGTTGCCGTAGATGAAGGCGCCGTGGAGGCTGGTGTGCGCGTGGATGTCGAACACAAAGTCAAGGTGCACGTCCTGAAACAGAAAAAAATAACACTTTTAATGACGTTAGTAGAGTTTCAGCTGTTTTAGCCTCGCGACCACGCCGCCGCGGCACAGCTCGACTGCGCGACCATTTGCACAGTTTCCCGTGCTGCTGGCACTCTGTTACAGTGAGGGTGAAACCTCCCCGGGGCCCTCCAGCGCGCTTCCAGCCCTTCCAGCGGACTGATTCCGAGAGTCGTTCTCGTCGCTCTGTCTCTCTCGCACTCATGGGGCGTTCCTAAGGGTGCGAGCGAGACAAAGCGATGAAAACGGCTCTCGGAATCAGTCCACAGTGCAGCCTGTCCGCCAAATTCAGCGCCAGGAAAAACGGGCGCGTTTCACAGCGTGCTGCCGTTCCGGGTAAAGTCCCAGAGGAAGGCAGTTCCTCGCCCCTCGCACGGCAATGAGTTGGCTGGCACTGCAGGCTGAGAGTCCCTTTCGTCGCTCTGTCCCTCTCGCACTCATGGGGCGTCCCGTGTAGGTGCGAGAGTGACAGAGCGACGAAAGCGACTCTCGGAATCAGTCTGCCGCCGCCGGCCGCGCGTCGGCCCGGCCAGCGAGCGCGGCGCAGCCGTGCTCCTAACTTTTAATGGCACAGCCGCCCGCCTTGATTCCGGAAGATCGTTTCGTCGCTCTGTCTCTGTCGCACTCACGGGGCGTGCCGCAGGGGTGCGAGAGAGACAGAGCGACGAGACGAGTCTTCGGAGCCAGGCGGCGGTGAAAGCGCGTCGGCGGCTCGCTGGCTGGCGCTGTCTGGCGCTTGTGCGTAGTAATCCCGAGACATTCCACTCCACACCGACAGTCCGACAGTGCGCACACTTCAGGCGCACCGCCTGAATACAGATCTAAACGGGGAGTTCCCAGCGCAAACACGGACTTTGCTCCATTCATGGTGGGGCGGCATTTTTAAAACTAATGCCGGTATGAAAATGAAGACCTCAAAGAGACTCTGGAGCACTCCGTCCAAAGATTTGCCTAGAACACTTCTTTTTCAAGTCGCCAAACAGTTGCTGCACCTTTAGTATACCGAAACCCGTTTTCAAAGTCGATGCAGTTGTCTCACTCTCACCTTCCGCTGGTTGAGGTCCGCCAGGAGGTTCTGCACCGCGTCCAGGGTGGGGTGCGACAGCGGGGTGGCGTCGATCCAGCCCCGGTTCAGGTCCAGTCCCAGCAGCGAGCACCTGGCACCGGTCACGCTACGTGTCAGCAGACTGATTCCGAGAGTCGTTTTCGTCGCTCTGTCTCTCTCGCACCTGCAGGGGACGCCCCATGAGTGCGAGAGAGAGCTAGGACTGTCGGACGTCAGCTCTTTTCTTCTCTTATCTCTTTATTTTCTCGTTTTACGACTGCGACTCACTTTTGGTTCCCCAGGAACACGCCGTCCGGGTTCATCATGGGCACGATCTTGAAGATGACGTGGTCGCGCAGCAGCACGGCGATGGGGTGGCTGCCGGCCAGGAAGTCGATCAGGCCTGCGGGCAGAGCAGGGGCTAAGGTGGAGGAAGGTGGGCAAGGTGAGGCACTCGCAGGGCAGAGAGGCCATGCCAGGCGACCTCGGCACGACCTTGGTGCGACCTTGGTACGACCTCGGCTCGACCTCGGCACGACCTTGGTACGACCTTGGCTCGACCTTGGCTCGACCTTGGCGCGACCTCGGCACGACCTTTACCCTGAAAAGGGGGATCTTGTCCGTGACGGCAGCAAGAGTATTTCATTTCCACAATGAATATACGCCGGGCTCAAGAGTATTTGGTACAAGTGATAAAGAGTGACTCTAACGACAAGAACCCACTTTTCAGGGTGTTGGCACGACCTTGGCACGACCTTGGCACGACCTTGGCACGACCTTGGCACGACCTTGGCACGACCTTGGCACGACCTTGGCACGACCTTGGCAGATGAAGGACGACGGCGCCTCGCCGGGGTGCACCCTGGCCAGGATGACGACCACCCTCTGGTTCAGTGGGGCGTCCATGTTGGACGGCGCCGTGATGGTCAGCACGTCCAGGCGGCGGTGTTGCTGCGCAAGTCACAAACACTCAACACATTTTTGAAAAACAATTAAAAGTGGGGAGGCAGTATTTGATCCTTTGAACTGAGCCTTACCAGCGACTCGGCGAGGACTTCCCTGCGCACGTGGGGGAAGCCCCGGCGGTCCAGCTGCTCCAGGTGGGCCTGGCAGCGCGAGTACGAGTAGGGCCGGCACAGCGCGAAGTGGTACACCTCCTCCTCGCGGTCGAAGGCGAACGTGAACGACAGCACGTACTGGTTGCGGTGCTCCGGCGAGCGGTAGTAGTACACCACTTGGTTGGGCAGCCTCTGCCTGCAACCCGCCAGGGTCCCGTCACACAGTGGGCCTGAGGACCGGTGGAGGTGGCCGAAATTCCGAACGCGTTTTGAACTCCAGAGTCGTTAAAGGGGACTCGAACCGAACGAGTGACCCCACCAATGGATTCCTCGTTCGGAGAGCAATCCATTGGCGGCCCTACACGTTTGGTTCGAGTCTTGTTCAGCGACTCTGGAGTTCAAAACCCGTCCGTGATTCTGACCGCCCCCACCGGTCTTCTGGCCCACTGTGCGCCAGGGCGGGGTTCTGATTGATTTTCAAGCCGGACCCCAACTCCAGTTTCACCAACTCCCGCCGCGGCTCGGCTCCGGCTTCGCGTTCGCGTCCGTTTGGGTGCGAACTCTGGCTTCCCATAGTTCCCGCCTTCCTCCAACAATGCGCTTGGATGCTGGAAGCCGAAACTAGCGGACCAAAGGACTAAAGCTCGCTAAAGCTCCTTACCACTTGGGCCTGGTGGTCGACCGCACGATGGGCGTCATCCCGTCCAACAAGTGGTTCTTCTTCTTGCTCATGTTGACGATGTTGAATATGACCCTCTGCAAGCAGGCCAAGCAGGGGCACAACATGAGCATGGGCGTAGGGCAGGGCGAGGGGCGCGCGGCGCGACGCAAAAAGTGGTGTGGCGTTCGGGGAACGCGCCGTCATCATTAATGCAGAGAATATTGAAATATGTGGGAGGGAATGCGACTCGGCGCTGGATGCTGGATGTTGGGCCGTGCGCTGCCGAGCCTGCCGGCGACAGCTTGTTACACCCCGACCCTTCAATACCCTCCCGCGCTCACACACGCTCCACGCTCCCGCCACGCTCCAGCCACGCTCCTCGCGTGCTTGTCCCAGGGTTGTCCCCTTCTCCAGAAACATACGGATTATACGCCACGAGCGCCGGGGGCGGCGCGCTATTGGCTTAATCATGCCTCCCCCCTCTCCACTCCCTCTCCACCCCCGACCCACACCCCATCCCCTGCCTGCAACCCTTCACCAACTCCGAGGCGCTCTCGACCCCGCCCCGCCCCGCCCCGCCCCGCCCCGCCCCGCCCCGTCGAACGGCTCCAGCATCAACTCGGCTCGCTGCCGGAGTGCTCGGAGTGCCGGGGCAAGATGCAACCAGAGTGCATGCATTGCAGTGCGGCGTTGCCGCATCGCCGCGGCGCCTCTACTCCGCTAATTGCTTTTTAGTAATTATTCCTTTTTTTTGGTTGCCGTCATTTGTACTCCGAAAGAGCGAGGGGCGATACTCCGTCCCCCGTGTGGTGCGAACAGGAGTGGCGGTCAAAGAGGGCTTTTGTTCTAGACTGGAATCCGCGAGGTTTCTCCAGCGCCTGCAGTGTAGGCAGCCCGGGCGCAGCCGAGTCGTCGGGACTGCATTCTGATCTCAGTCAGCGAGTCCGAATGCTCTCCGTTCTAGCTGCGCTGCGATATGTCACTCAAGCCACGGGTAGGCTTCGCTGGACGGGTTCAAGGACGGGTCACTTCACCCGCATGCTCCCTGGAAACTCCCCTGGAAACTCCCCTGGTGGAAGCTATCCCTGGAGACTGCGGCGTCGGAGAGCTTTGCGTCTGCCACGCGCGTGCAAAATGCAAAATGAAGTTTGACGTGTGCATTTGGAACGTCCCTCGCCGCCCAGTTGTTTTTTTTTCTCGTTTTCTATCTCGCTGCTTTGTTTAATGTCTTGCTATAGCTCGCCAGCCCCGCGTCGCGTCCAGGTCGGAAAGAAAGGGCGAACAGCGGACTCATTCCGAGAGCCTCGTCGCTCTGTCTCTCTCGCACTCATGGGGCGGCCCTCGGGGTGCGAGAGAGACAGAGCGACGAAAACGACTCTCGGAATCAGTCCGCAGCACTGTTGTGGAGCGACGTTGAGTTATAGGACCGGACCATGCTGGACTCGCTCGACTGGACTGGAGCGGCACCGCGGCACGAGCCACACTAGGGACCGGCCCCAGCCGCCCCAGCAGGGACAGGCACTTCCAAAAGTAGCCCCGCTCTCTGGAGGCCCGGCCCTGGCTCGGCCGCGGCGCTGGAGGCTTAGGGTGCCGTTGAAAGGGGGACGAACGAGCTGCTAAACTTTGTGGAAGTCCCCCGGTCCCTCCGGCGCTGCCTTCGGCTCGCCCTCCCCGTCCACCAGGACGTTGACCCCGCGCTTTTGGGTCGGCCTGTACGGGGTGCTTTCTGTCGGATTCATATCAGCTGAGACGCGTACGGTGTACGGCACTGCCACGGCACTGCGAGGGCCAGTGCTGGCCTCCCCCACCCTCTCCCAAAACTCCCCCACCCCACCGGGCTCCCCCACCCCTCATTCAAATGAGTTAAAAAAGCTGACCACGAGAGGGGTGCGGAGGGCCGGCTGAGCAGCGCCGGGGTACAGTCTGTACAGTCACCCGCAAGAGACGAGTACAGTGCGACACGTGCGCCACTGTTAAGGCCGACCCCCCGCGACCCGCGTCATAGCCAAAGCCGAAGTTTCCGCGCTGATGGAGCATGTCCTTTGGCTCCAAGTTGGGGCAGGAACCCGACAGGGAGCCCGACAGGGACAGGCGCGGCTTGACTGAGCCGTGCCAAGTTCAGCGGCACCGACAGGCCGACAGCGGACTGATTTGCTTTCGCCGCTCTGTCCCTCTCGCACTCACGGGGCACAGTGGGCCAGAAGACCGGTGAGGCGGCCAAAACTCCAGACGCGTTTTGAGCTCCAGAGTCGCTAAACAGGCCTCGAACCGAACGAGTGACCCCACCAATGGATTGCTCTCCGGACAAGGAATCCATTGGTGGAGTCACACGTTTCGGTTCGAGGCCTGTTTAGCGACTCTGGAGCTCAAAACGCGTCTAGACTTTTGACCGGCTGTACCGGTCATCCGGCCCACTGTGCGGCCCTTTGTACGCCCTGGCCGGCCGGGCTTGGGCGCCGAGGCGGCGAACCGCCATTTCGCCCCGGGCCGCCTTTATGTAAAATATGGAGACTGCAACGAAAATGGCACTAGCGGCGGCGGAATATTCGATGCCGCACAGGAGAGAGGGAGAGAGGGGAGGGGGAGGGGGAGGGGGAGGGAGCGAGAGAGAGAGAGAGGAGCCCGGCGTAAAGTTGTGTGTGGTAGGCGCTGGAGCGGCGCGCGCTCCGCGGGGCTGCAGGCCGCCTCCAGAACGGCGCGTTGTCTCTCTCGCACCTCGGCTGGCCCGAGCGGCCCGCTCGGCCCGCGCATGCAGGGAATAGAGCTCGCGAGCGAGGGGCACAGCGCGCGTATCATGCCGCACAGGAGATGGCGGGTGGAGACCTGGGAGACCATGGCAGAAAGAGGAGCCGGCAAATCTGTGTGTTTCAGCGCTTTAGCGCTTTCACGTTTCGCGGGCTGTTCAGAGTTTTCGCCTTCGAGAACAGCGCGTAATCCCCAGAATCCCGAGCCCGTCGGCCCGCCGAGTGGAGTGGAGCCCCCGGTCGCGAGCGCCGCCCGGAGTCGGCGGCCCGCTGGAGCCCTGCTGGAGCCTGGAGAAAGGGAGGCCAGGCAGATCGATGTGCAATTTCCAGCTTCCAGCGCTTCCAGCGCGGCATGCGGCGAGAGTCTCGGCCTGAGTACGGAAGAGAAAGCCCGCAGCCGGCGAAGCCCGCGAAGCCCTCCGACGCTGATAACGTGATTTCCACGTGAGCCGAAAAGAGTTCCCGCGGAGTAGAAAGAACAGTGGCGGCATCAACGCCCGCCCTCTCTTGTCTCGCTCTCCTTTTGAGGTTCGCAAGGAATGAGGCGAGGGAACGCCAGCAGGTGCCTTGCAGCAAACAGTGCGAACAGCTGACTCTGCCTGGCTGAATTTGTCCGGTTTCTCTCTTTCGAAATGCCGAATGGCCACGCCGATGCGGAAAACACCCCGCGTTTCTGCCGAGCAGACTGATTCCGAGAGTCGTTTCCGTCGCGCTGTCTCTCTCTTGCACTCACGGGGCGGCCAGTATCGGTGCGGGAGAGACAGAGCGACGAAAACGACTCTCGGAGTCAGTCTGCTGGCTGCCGCCATGCTGCCGCAACGCATCAATCCGATGCCCCCGATGTCATGATCGCGCAGCGGGGTGCAGGGCGGGGGACGCCCAGCCCAGCCCGGCCGCAACGCCCGGCCCGGCCATCGCCGGGATCCGGGATTTGGCGCGGAGACGTGCGCTGCAGCGATGGGGCCGGGCTGGGGCACAGTGGGCCAGAACACCGGTGGAGGCGGCCAAAGTCCCGGAGGCGTTTTGAGCTCCAGAGTCGC